GATCAAATTTCAGATTATCTAAAGATAGCATAAGATTTTCGACTTAACTGGGACTCGATTGCGAAAATATGGTGCAAAAATATAGAAGACGTATATCAACTTTKCATACACCACCAAAATAATGATAATTGACTGCCATGCGGTCTGAATGATATATAACGCAATAAACATGAGATACTTCACATTCATAAACTAATATAAACGGCTAAATACATAAACAATTCTATATAATAAGTTCGCACTTTCGCTTGATCGCGTCTCGAAAATTACGTCTTACCCAAACGATTTGTAAAATAATGAACGATGTTATAACATGATTTCATGAACGTACTCTGGAGAGCGTATAAATCTATCGCTCACATAAAATAAAAATATAGAGGAACATTTTCCTTTCGTAAGCACTTTTTTCAAAAAGAAACGAGAGGACAGATCAAGAATTTAGTCGTCAGTAAAAGTCATTGTTCGCAGGTAAAAACAGGGAAGCAAAGAAGACATACCTACAGGAATGACAACTGAGGTCACAAACACCAATGCAAAGAAAATCCTCATCATTGGAATTCAATCGCCAAGAAATTTCGCAACTAGGAACTCAAATCTCTTGTCGTGGCTGGAAAAATAGGCGTGGTTTTGGTTTTAAGTCGTTTTAGTGAATCACAGACTTAATARGGGATTATTGTCAAATGAGCCGGTTTACATACCTATAAGCAAGAGTTTATATGCAAATTTCCCTACAAGGTTTGATAAGAGCCCGATATACTGTCACATATACGCAAGTGCCGAGGGCCCGCCTTGTAACGCTGCCTTATTGATCAAATATACCACTTATTTTTATGCGATAATTCCACATATTAATGTATATACTTATATTTGTAATAGAAAACTTGGGACATCGACTTAAAGGACCATCGCGAACAAGGATGCACTGCACTCAAATATCAAATATTAGATTTGTCTGTTGGAATTATTTTTCTGGATGAGTCATGTTGAATAAATATTTTATACAGGTATGATATTACAACGAAATACCACCTTTGTTCTCGAAGAATTAACGAAAAATACCGCTTGTATTTGATGAAAGTGAGCTAATACCACTCTTACTTCGCACTGTGGTGCTAATTCGGGGGCATTTTTCATTTATTTTTYTTRAATGTGAGGCAAATGAACATGATAAAAAATATAAATTAAAAAGACTCCCTTTSTTTCTTGTGAATTGCCTGGTTGATTCCAGCCGCTTCCACTAACATATTCAGTGGGGCATTCTGTTCAGAAATATTGGACACACATTGTGATGTTTTCGCTTGTCTGGCAAATTTAATACAATGTTATATTTTTATTTTACATAGGAGAAAGGTCAAACAATAYAGTCTATATTCTGTCAAGGTAGAAGCTTTTTTCTCTGTTGCTGGAGWAGCATTTCGAGATGATCGGCTCGTTTCATGGCAGCCTAAAATAAGATAAAGCAATACACACGAATAAAGAAAATACATTACGGTCATTTTAAGAAATTCTGACCAATATTTCCACCGGTCTCTCTCGCGCTCAAAGGGGATGAGTATGGTCGTCCGCAGCTGCGATAAGGAGTGAAAGCGAAAGTCGAACTGCACTGGGGGGGAGGGGGGTCGGGAAAAATCGCGACCGCTTWGGTGAGCGCGTGAGAGAAATACCCGCTATCGCTCCTGATCAATCCGGATCCCCGGCTCGAAGTTTGCAAGTGTGATGGGAGTGTGATGTCATCCCTTTTATACGCTATGCGASAGAGACCGCTGACAATAGGTAATAAACCCTTTTAGCGGTCTCTTTTACGCTGTGTTAGCCTCAAAACCATCTAATAAATTCTTTTATTCACAACAGCCCGTGCAAATGCAAGAGATTTGTGAGTATAGAAGACAATGRAAATAGTTTGAAATCTCACGAGTTTTATSGACATTTCTGAATATTTTAGCACACAATTGAGGCTAACACAGCGTAAAAGAGATCGCGAAACTCGACTATACACCTTCGTACTCTCCAATTGCATTGTTTTCTTTTGTGTCTAAC